GAGAGAGGAAGTGAAAGCAGAAGAGATATAAAAATATTAGGGAAATCAGTGGCATCTGATGATGACTCGGATGGTGGGGATGAGGAGTCATGAGAGGCTCCAAGTTTGTTAGCTATATTGGCTGGAGGAATTATGAAGCCATGACTGATAGTCTTCTCCCACAGCATTCTTGCCTTGGAGAACACACCTAGCTTCATAGGAGCATAGGAGCATACGCACCCCTGTCGCCCTTTTGCCTATCTATTCTTTTTTTTTTTTTTGGTTGTGGGGCTTGAACTCTGGGCCTGAGCCCTGTCCCTCAGCTCTTCAGCTCAAGGTTAGTGCTCTACCACTTGAGTTACAGCACCACTTCCAGTTTTCTGGTGGTTTATTGGAGATAAGTGTTTCACGGAGTTTCCTGCCCGGGCTGGTTTTGAACCATGATCCTCAGATCTCAGCTAGGATTATAGTCATGAGCCACTGGCGCCCGGTTCTTGCCTATCTATTCTTAAAGCACATGGGCCCTTTTCATTTTAAGAGTTTCAATTCATGTGCTCTCCAGAGATGAAGTTCTTTTGACCCTGGCTCTAGTGAATCAAGTTTTAGAATAGTCTATAACAAGCAAGCCTGTAAGCCAAGCCAGCTGGAGTTCACAAACGCCACCTGAGTTTAGTGGTTCCCAGTAGAAACTTTGATGCTAGAAAACCTACCTGTAGGAAACAGCTGCCCCCAGTCAATGAATCCCATTTTGGTATTTGGGAACTGAATCATGTTGGTTAGAGTTAGAGCTTCTTTCCCATACGGAAGATGGGCAAGTCTGACACTGTTTTTCCCAGATTCCTTTGCATTTACTTGGCATACCAAGGGCACGTGGCCCAGGCTCTGCAAGTCTGATGTATATACTTGAGTTTGAATCAGAAGAAATTTTCTATGACAGCAGCAGTAGTGATCACATTTTCCTAACAACCATGGTGAATCCTCCCAGGGTCTTGTGAGTATCGGGCCCTGAAACTAAAGCTTCATTTGGGTCATAGCAACTTGCTTCTGTTTTACATTGATGGACCATGACTAATTCTGTGACGGCATATCAGTCCAGCAGCATACAAGGCCAGGCACAGGCAAGGACTAGGAGAGACTAATTTGTTCAAGAGGATAGGAAATAAAACTTCTTAGGCAGAACAAAAGCATCTTTCATAGGTGGGGAAGATTAGGCTTAGGGACCCGAAGTCATGTAAAGAACCTGGTCATCATCTTGTAAGAAGTGACAACATTTTACAACAAACTTCTATTTTGAAATAATTACTGGTTTATAGAAGTTGTAAAAATTTCCATGTACCCCCTCATCTAGTTTCTTTTAACGCTTATATCTTACATGTTATACTTGTCAAAACTGAGAAGCTCACATTAGCATTAGCATGTTACTGTTATCTAAACTCCAGACTTCATATGGATGTCACTAGCTTTTCCACAGATGTTACTTTTCTGTTCCAGGATCCAGATTGGATGCCCTTTTGCCATTGGATACCAACCTGTTAAAGAATATGAACATGGTAAGAAGTTCATGGGAGGTTCATCTGATAGTAATGTAAAGGATAAGCTGGGAAGTGGGAATAAGGTATTTTTAAGGCTACTGTAGAATTTTGAGTTACACTTTCAAATGTATTCCCATATTTAATGCCTGAAAGAAGTATCATTATGCCTGCTCAGGGGTCCAATGGGTCAAAAGAATGTTTAGGAAGCACATGGTGGCTTCTACATAGCAGTGCTTGGTAAACTGGAAGGTCTTCCTGACCAGAGTACCAACGTAGGCTGATAAATCAAGACAGGCAGCCAAAGAAATACATGCTTACCTTCTTTTTTCGAAGTCTAATCTCTCCCTTGTATGTCAATTTTGTTATCATGAAGACAGACTCTTGGACCTGGGTTTAAGCCTCAGCTCCACCAATGATTGTGTAGCTCTATGTGAATCATTGAACCTCTCTGAGATCTAGTTTCCTCACTGGTGGTGGTCAGAAATGCAAAGTTACTGTTTCTTAAAATGAAGGGGGCACAAGCTAAGGATTGTGGGCAACCTCTAGAGGACAGAAAAGGTAAGGAAACATTCCTCTACAAAATTTAGGAAGGTAGCAGCCTTATTAATGTGAATTTAGCTCCTTGTGACCCACAAGGTAACCATGTGAGGTTATAAATTTGTACCACTTTATGCTACTGCACTTGTAATTTGCATATGTGTATGTGTTTCAGTTTTGGAACTTGCATTCAGGCCTGGGTGCAGTCCCTTAGTTTTCTCATACAAAGCTAGGGCTCTACTACTTGAATCACAGCTTGACTTCTGGCTTCTTGGTGGTTAATTGTGGAAAAGTCTCAAGAACATTTAGGGTTACTATGTAGGTGTGACCCACCAAAGCCCAGCTGTATTTGTAACTTGATATGGTAACAATGGAAAATGAATAGATCACTTAGAGGCTGAAGTCATTCACAGGGCTTGAATACACAAATGAAGCAAGCAAGGGTGCCTTGGGGACATCAACACTTCAAAGGGGGGGAGGGGAATGTGGAAAGAGCCCCGGAGGCACCGGTGGTGGGAGAGCCAGAAGACACACAGGACAAAGGTAGGAGAAAGTGGCTAACTTTCCCACTATTTAAACTGCTTACACTTTAAAAAGAGGGCTGTAGGAAGTTAAACAGACTTTACATTTTAAAGTACATATTTTATTTCCTGGCTTCATTTCCTCCACAGTGATTCTTGTATTTGCATATAACAAACAGCTTCTTTCACCTGAAACCATCTTCTCCCTCAAAGTAAAGCTGGGCAGTTTGAGAACTTTCACAATTGTGATCCATGTTACAAAGTCATCAAATTAATACTTAGGTTCCAGAATGGCAGGTTTTGCCACATCACAAGTGTGAATGAAATGAAACACAGCTATTTTAATGAGTTAGTCCAAGTTATTTGACCCTACAAAGCCATCCAACTCTGGGTGCCAGTGGCTCACGCCTGTTATCCTAGCTACCCAGGAGGCTGAGATCTAAGGATAGAAGTTCGAAGCCAGCCTGCGTAGGAAAGTCAGTGAGATTCTTATCTCCAACATGGTAGAACACTAGCCTTGAGTGAGCTCAGGGACAGTGCCTAGGCCCTGAGTTTAAGCCTCCCTCCCCCACTTGGCTGGCTTTAAGCCTCAGCTCCATCACTGATTGTGCAGCAGTACAGAACTCAGGGCTTGTGTGTATCTGTTTTCTTCAAGGTTGGTGCTCTACCACTGAGCCACAGCTCCACTTCTGACTTCTTGCTGATTAATTGGTATTAAGAGTCTCATAAACTTTGCTGCCTAGGCTGGCTTTGAACCATGATCCTCAGATTGTGGGTCACCAGCACCTGGCCAATGTAAAACTTTTGTGCTTCAAAGGCTACTATCAACAAATAAAAAGTCAACTGACAGGATGGATGATACTGTAAGTACTTTACTGATAAAGAACTCTTATAACTCAATAATAAAATGGCAAATAACCAAAAAAAAGTACATAAGATTCCAAGATATTGTCCAAATAATATATACAAATTATCAGTAAACACAGAAAAGACGTCCAACATTATAAACCAGGAATTCATCAAAATCACAATGAGAAACTACGCACATTCACTAGGATGGCTATATTCAAAATGATAGCTATCAATGAATGGATAAGCAAAATCTGGCATAAAATGAAATGTTAGTCATAAAAAAAAATATTAATCCATGCTATGACCTGAATGAACCTTAAAACATTACACAGTCACAAAAGACTTATATTTAACTCAATTTACATGAAAAGTCCAAATTAAGAAATCTAAAGAGCTGCGTGCTGGTGGCTCACACCTGTAATCCTAGCTACTGAGGAGGCTAAAGATACGAGGATCATAGTTTGAGCTAGCCTGGGAAGGAAAGTATATGAGACTCTTATCTCCAATAACCACCCAAAAAAACAGAAGTTGAGCTGTGGCTCAAGTGTAGAGGATTAGCCTTGAGCAAAAAAGGCTCACAGATGGTGCCCAGGCCCTGAGTTCAAGCCCTTTGACTGCCAAAAAGTGAGGGGGGACAAACAGGGTATATAAACTTTCTTTGGGGAATCTGGTATTGGTTGTATAAGCCTACGGTTATACTAAAAATCACTAAACTATGTACTTTAAATGGATGAATTAGCATGGTATATATCAATAAAACTTAAATTTTTTAAAGAAGGATAAAGAAACCACTGTATTTTTTCCCCCAAATCCTTTGTACTTGTTAGAAACCAGTCTCATAATCATTTTGTCATGGCATAAAGGACTGAAACACAGATTTCTGTCTTTTACGGCACTCCAAGTTGTATGTGCTTACAGAACGGTCAAGGGCTCAGTATAAGAAATTCACTCTTGGTGAGTCATGGGCCTGTAGGCTTTTTGTAATAGAGCATTTCACTTCTATAGAGCATGTATTTTCTCTCCCTTAACAATAAATTGTCCTTGAGGCTTGAAAAGTAGCATAAAAAGTTAGTTTCTTCCTTCCATTCTGCACAGAGATTTACTCCATTAAGGTAATCTGGCTGAGCCCTAAATATTAAATGCTGAACTTTTGGGCTCTGTATGTTCTTTGCCTGTCTTTTGGCAGCTTTACAGATCTAAGGCAAAAGGCTAAATAAATTCCTCACTCCTACTCCCTGATATCAAGAGCAGAAGATGGGAGGAAATAATCATGCTTCGAAGAGTTTGGGGCTCCATTTCCCAGTTTTGGAGCTTGCAACCTAACTAGGCTATTTCATTATTTCTTTCTCTCTCTTTTTTTTTAATGCAATGCAGGGCTTGGATGAGGGCTCTTGGAACAATTCCTGTTCTGGTAAGTCACAGGAAACAAGTGAACACACAGGAAATCTGGTTCCTGAAGGATTTAGGAGGAAGAATGGCTAAGAATTCTCAAGGGAAACTGCTAGTCTAATCTATCAGGGAGTTCAGACCAGGCACCAATAGATATATCCTGAAATAAATGAACAACTGATCAGAAAAATAAGTAACTTAAGTCAACTTTATTTTCAAAGTCCTGTGACATATAAAAAAAGACAATGGCAAAATCCAGAGACAGCACACACCATATCCCTGAGAGGCAGAGTACTCCAGGGACAAAAGAGAAGAGGGATGGATGGAGACTCAACATTTTCTAGCTTCAAGAAGTCAGAGAGCGTAACTGGTCAGCGAGACCATCTTAGTAACTGGTTACAGATTCTTTATGAAGGTGTTTACCTGAGAAGAAAAAAAACCCAAAAAGTTAAATTTCACATTTTCATCAGACTATTCAATGTTCCACCCACAATGTCTATATATCCATTCCAATGAATTCTTTGTGAGGAAGGAGAGGGAAAGCAGGCCTGGAGAAGAAATGTGAGCTGTCTAGAGTCATACAGCACCAGTGGCAAAGCTGGGAATAGAATCCAGAAGTCTCATTTCCCTAGTTTTATAATACCTTAGAGGAGCAAGTCAGCTGGCAAGCACATGTTACAAGTCAATTATTCAGCAATTATTATTATCCCAACATGCTTTAAAGAATAGAGATTATATGTAAGTTAAACAAGATCCAATAGGCTTTGTAGTGTGAAATGCAACTGGAGATACAAAGTGCAAAACCCAATATAGTAAACTTTAGAAGCAGAGACCAAGAAGGATGAAAGCACAAAAGAGAAAGAGAAAAACAACAACAAACAAAGGAGTTCAACTCCTTCTTACTTACTTTTCTCATGAGTTCTTCTTGTTTGGCTAGGTCTTTAGAAAAATCATCACTGACATCCAACACCAGCACTGGAATATTCATCAGAGTCTCAAAGTGGAGTCTATAAGAAGCATAAACATTTGGTGGACAGGAAAAAAGAAAGAAACCAGAGCCAAGTTTCACACACTCACTAAATATAATAACTGATAGAACAGATCTCAATGAAACTGCCTGTAAACAGCATTAAAAAATAAGGGAAAGAGAGCATGGCTCAAATGGTACAGTACTTGCTTAGAAAGTCTGAGGTCACAAAGTCAAATCTATTATCACTGCACACAGAAAAATTCACTGAGTTTTTAGAAAGAGAGATGTGGTTCAAGTGGTAAAACACTGTTCTTGAGTGGAAAAGGTAAGCTAGAATGCCAGGCCTTGAATTCAAGCACCAATACTGACACCAAAAGCAAACAAACAAAATAAATTTAAATTTAGCTGGGGCCAGTGGCTCATACCTGTAATCCTAGCTACTCAGGAGTCTGAATACCATGGTTCAAAGCCAGCCAGAGAAGACAATCCAAGATATTCTTACCTCCAATTAATCAGCAAAAAGCCAGAAATGGAGGTGTCGCTCAAGTGGGATAGCACCAGACATAAGCAAAAAAAGCCAAGGGAGAGCACAAAGCCCTATGTTTAAATCCCAGTATCAGTACAAAAAACAAAACAACAAAATAACTGAAGCAAAATGGGATTGAAGTGTGGCTTAAGTGGTAGCATGCTTGCTTGTAAACACAGGCCCTCAGTACAAACCCTAGGATGACAGATATAGATATATGTATGTATGTGTATGTATGTATGCATGTGTGCATGTGTGTATATTAACATACACAATCAATAAATCAAAATGATTGAAGAGAGAAAAACCAATTTCTCCTTAGTTTTAAGACTAATACTGAAAGCCAGACCTCCAACCATTTTATGCAGACAACATAGTAAGCTTGAAGGGAAGGTAGCCAGCCAGTAACTTGGAATGTCAACTTAGCGAAATTGACCTTTTCCTAAAAACGAAGCATCAATCCAATATTCTATCTGGGGGAAATGTAAAAAACAAAGAGTTTAAGAGTATGAGGGTAAGCCGGGGGCCAGGGCTCATGCCTGTAATCCTAACTACTCAGGAGACTAGATCTGAGGATCACAGTTCAAAGCCAGCCCAGGGAGGAAAGTCCAGTGAGACTCTAGCTGTAGCTCAAGTGGTAGAGCTCTCACCTTGAGCTGAAGAGCTCAGGAACAGCACCCAGGCCCAGAGTTCAAGCCCCACAACCACCACCACCAACAAAAAAGAGCATAAGCGAGGGTATAAGGATATAAGCAAGTTCATGAAGGCACCAGGGAAATACAATCTAATAAAAACTCTCTTGAAACATAGAATTAGAATTGCAACCCCTTTATACAACATTTTGTTGTTGTTGTTGTTGGTAGTGGGGCTTAAACTCTGGGCCTGAGCGCTATCCCTCAGCTTTTTTTTTTTTTTTTTTTTGGTCGGTCGTGGGGCTTGGGTGCTGTCCCTCAGCTCTTCAGCTCAAGGCGAGCGCTCTACCACTTGAGCTACAGCACCACTTCCGGTTTTCTGGTGGTTTATTGGAGATAGGAGTCTCACGGTCTCTCCTGCCTGAGCTGGTTCAGATCTCAGCCTCCTGAGTAGCTAGGATTATAGGTGTGAGCCACCAGCGCCTGGCTTTATCCCTCAGCTCTTTACCTCAAGGCTAGTGCTCTACCACTTGAGCCATAGCTCACCAGTTTTCTGGTGGTTTATTGGAGGTAAGAGTCTCATGGAATTTCCTGCCCTGGCTTTGAAACTCCCAAGATCCTCAGATCTCAGCCCCGAGTCTAGGAGTATAGGCATGAGCCACTGGTGCCCAATTTTGTTTTGTTTTGTTTTAGGGCCTAGGTGCAGTCCCTGAGCTTTTTTGCTCATTGTTAGCACTCTACAGCTTGAGCTACAGCTCCACTTTTAGCATTTTGGTGATTAATTGGAGAGTCTCATGGACTTTTCTGCCCAGGCTGGCTTTGAATCATGATCCTCAGAACTCAGCCTCCTGAGTAGCTAGTATTACAGGCATGAACCACTGGTTCACGTATATTTATATTCAATTCAAACTTTCTGAGTTGGAAAATATACATTTCCAACTTTCTTACAGGGCTGTATGTTAAACTTCTTATTTTGATAAAATGGCTTCAGAAAGCAAGTCTCTGTCTTGCTCTTTTCTCTACTTACTTGGTTTTCTTATAAACAAGCCAGTCTTCGTGTTGACTATGAAGCTGCTCAAGATAGGCCAGTTGAATTCCTTTCTCTTCCTCCCTGGCCCTTTGGTACAGTCTCTCCAAGCAAACCTAAAGGACAAACCACAGGCCCCATTCAGTCAGTCTGCTGTTCTGTTACAATGCAGTTTTACTGGGTCCTGAAACCTACATGTCTTCATGTCTAACCTGGCACCATAAGTCATGACCTTGCTTCTATTGCCTTGCTCTCTTATTCAATCTGAAGATTTACACCATTCTCTCCACTTGGTGGGTTAATGGCAAACAATATCCACTCATTTGGCCAAGGCTGGAACCTAGGATTACCCTTCTTTCTTTCAATAATATTAGTAAGTCATAAAACTCTCTTTAATCTCTCTAATTTCTTCTCCTCTCACCTCTGCCCTTGTCAATAGCATTCAGCCTTTTTCTCTCCTACAGGTGAAAGTATATGCAAAGAGCCCAGGCCTTAAAATCAGAAGATATAAGGGTCTAAATCACATACTAGCTATACAACCTTTGTGGGTTTCCACTTTCCTATCCTGTACCGTACCACCCACAGGTTACCGTGAGGATACACTAAAGTAAAGCATATGAAGTTCTTGACAAAAGCTGTTCTCTTTTCAATTGTTCCTTTAACCCAGACTTCCATAATACTGTACAATAAAACAAATTAAAAAATAAAATTATTTTCCTAGCTTGAAATATTTTGCTCTTTTGCTTCATGTAGTTCCTTAGTGGGTATAGCCATAACCACAGGGTTCAAGGAATTATAGGTGACATCTATCTATCTATCTATCTATCTATCTATCTATCTATCTATCTATCTATCTATCTATCTATCTATCTATCTATCCATCCATCCATCCTAGGGGGGGAGGGATAGAGAGAGGAGAGAGAACAAGTGCTTAGATTGACCTTGAATTTGTAATCCTCTTGCCTAAGCCTGCTAAATTCTGGGGTTACAAGTGTGTGCCTCCATGCCTGGCTTGTGAGTTGCTCTGTATTGACTGATTGAACTCTGGGCCTGGGCATGGTCCCTGAGCTTTTGTGCTCAAGGATAGCACTACACCTTTGAGCTACAACTCCATGTCTGGCTTTTTTTGTACTTTTGTAAAGATAGGAGTTTCAGGGACTTTCCTGCCTGGGCTGGCTTCTAACTGTGATCCTCAGATCTCAGCCTCTTGAGTAGCTATGATTATAGGCATGAGGCACTGGCTTGCACTGTATGTATGAAATGCTAAGTCATATGAAATATCTCTTTCATATGCTATCAAGCACTCATTTTGGAGTAGAATGAAACACCTGCATATGTAAGAAATGAAACAAATGTGTATGTGTGTGTAAAATTTGTGTGTATATGCTGGTACTAGGGCTTGAACTCAGGGCCTTATACTCTCCTTTGCCTTTTGAACTCAAGGCTGATGCTCTATCACTTGAGTCACACCTTCAGTTTGAGCTTTTTTGCTGGTTAATTGGAGATAAGAGTCTCAAGAATTTATCTTAGCCTACTGAGTAACTAAGATTATAAGTATCAACAACACTGGTATCCAGCGTGTGTGTGTGTGTGTGTGTGTGTGTGTGTGTGTGTGTGTGTGTGTGTGTGTGTGTTTAAAAGGGAGGCTTAACATTGATTTCTTTCTCTCTCCCTTCTGGAATTCTATCCTATTCATATGTAGAAAGTCTGAAGTAGTGCACTGGCTCAGAATATAGTGTCTCCTTCTTTACCTGTTACACAAAGCCACTCATCCTACTTGTCCTCAACTTCCTTATTCCTCTGCTGGTCTTGCTGCTTCAGTAAGATTTGGCCTCCTTCCTGTAGGACAGGCCAAGCTACTTGACACCTCAAAACCTTTGCTCCAAATGTTTGTTTTGCCTTAATTGCCCTTGTTCTTCTCTCTGTTCAGCAAAACATTATTCAATGTCATCTGTAATGAAAGCATTGATGAATTAACCTATTGCTTTAAAATTTTCCTCTTTCAAATACCTAAAAAGGTGAACTTTATCCCCACATGTGGTACACAATATTCTCAAAGACTTGGCATCTTTGCTGTCTTCCTTTGTTCTCTAAGGAATTAAAAATATGTAAACTGACTTGCGTTAGGCCCTTATATCCAACTCTCCAAACTGATTAGTAGACACAGTTTTCAAAGATCACCACTTGCAGTCCTTACCTCTGCTCATCAGTCTTTCCTCTCCTCAATTAATAACTCCTGTTTCTAATACTTAGCTATTGTAAACAATGAGACTGTATACAGAGGCACAATGATTGATAGGCCAAAAAGTATGAGCACTTGCTTCAATATACTGCCAAACTGTCTCCATATAAGTTAACCCATTTAGGTTGGGCACAGTGGCTCACACTTGTTAATCCCAGCTACTTTTTTTTTTTTTTTTTTTGTCGGTCGTGGGACTTGAACTCTGGGCCTGGGCGCTGTCCCTCAGCTCTTCAGCTCAAGGCGAGCGCTCTACCACTCGAGCTACAGCGCCACTTCCGTTTTTTCTGGTGGTTTATTGGAGATAGGAGTCTCACAGTCTCTCCTGCCCGGGCTGGCTTTGAACCGCGATCCTCAGATCTCAGCCTCCTGAGTAGCTAGGATTACAGGCGTGAGCCACCAGCGCCCGGCCCAGCTACTTTTTAAATTGGGAATAATGCAAGTTCAAGAACAGTCTATGCAAAAGTAGCAGTGATATTCTTTCTTAAAGATAAAATTTAAAAAATGAACTGGAGCTAGGTACCAGTGGCTCGCACCTGTAATCCTAGCTATTCAAAAGGATGAGAGCTGAGAACGGAAGTTCAAAGCCAGCCCAGGCAGTAAAGTCAGTAAGACTCTTTATCTTTAGTTAAAAAAAGTCAGAAGTGGAATGTGACTCAAGTGGCAGAGTACTAGATGAGTAAAACTTAGCAACAGTATTCAGGCCCTGAATTCAAGTCTCAGGACTAGTACACACACACACACACACACACACACACACACGCACGCACGCACGCACGCACACACTAAAATGGTGAGTATTTAATTTCTATTTCACACACACACACACACACACACACACACACACACACACACGCATACACTAAAGTGGGGAGTATTTAATTTCTATTTCTTCCTGTGTAGGGAACAAAAAATATTTCTCTCCCTTTATTATTCTAGTACCAGAGTTTGAACTCAAGGCTTTGCACATGCTCAGCTCATGCTTGGCTGGCTTATCATGCTGCTAGCCAGGCTTTATGGTAGTTAATAGGAGATAAGAGTCTCATCGATTTTTCTGCCTGGGCTGGCTTCAAACCACTATTCTCCAGGTCTCAACTTCCTAAGTAGATAGAATTATAGGCATTAGTCATTTACACATGACTTCACTTTTCCCCCTATTTCCCCCTACTTTATCTTGTTCTACTAAATTAAATCACTGTTAAAAGAGTGAAAGGGCTTGGGGCTCAAGTGGCAGAACACTTGCTTAAAATACACAAGGCCCTGGATTTCAATCTCCCAACCTAGTACTAAAAACAAAAAAAGAAGCTAACCCATTTATATTCCCACCAGCAAGTAGCTTTAGGATTGCTAGATATAGCAAAGCTATATAATTTTCCTCTCTGAGATAAAAGAAAATTGTCTGAATATATTTAAAAATAATATAGCCATGTTTCCAAGTATACTCAGGACAGAAAAATTCTTTTTACAAAAGCTATTTATAATTATTCACTCACTGCTTTTAGATACGCATCTATTAAAATAGACTTAACATTTCCCTTTTTAAAAAGCCGATTAATTTGCTTAACAGAGCAATCCCTTTTCCTGTATGGTCTAGATAAAACTCATATTTTGAGCATCTGGTATAATTCTTGCTTTACTGATACAGTTTAACAAGTTCTTAAAAAAAAAAAAAAGAACCTTTGAAATAGAGCTTTAGGTTGGGCACATTTCATCTTGGTCCTCACAGAGAAGACACACCTGACTGTGAAGACAGTATAGGTGCACAAATATCATGGGATGGATGCTTTCACCAAACTTCTTCCTTACCCAGGAAGGAAAGCCATGTTGACTGCTTGAAAGGATACAGGAACTGGATTGTGACTGCTGGTAAGTCTGCTTACCAGGCTTCCCAAGTCCCAAACTCAGGTGACAGTTTCCCCATGCACTCACCACACACTGTTTGCATGCTCCTGAGGCCCACTGGCCAGCTGCACTCTTTTCTTACTGACTGTAAGTAGCTGCAGGAACAATGACGCCCAGCCATTTCTCTTTTGATTCCCCCATACTCCCAAGCACGGTTTTTAGAATTCAAGGAAGATCAGCTGGAAGGAGCCAAAGGCCCTATTGAGGTTCACCTCATATGCTTTCCTCAGGGCTCAGTGCTACAGTATTGCACACTAGCATGGGCTTTTATTTAGAGATACTAAAACTTTTATTTTGCTCTTTCTTTGAGTCTTACAGCAGAGGTCAGAGTGACTTTAGGACAGAGGCATACTTGGGTCCCTGGGCCTAATGCCATCAAAACAGTTCTACCCAATCTCTAAACACACAAGTTATTTTCTTTTCTGTCATTAAGGTACAAGAATTCTTCAGCTCCTCTCATTTTACATTGGTTGAAATAGTTTAAGTAGTCTCCCCAGAAAGACTTAATAGAACACCCAACAACAATAATCACTATCATAACATCATCATCATCATCATCATCATCCTGCCCCTCCTCACAGGTCAATCAGAATCAATACAGAAGAAAAATGAAGGAGAAACTGCTTGTCCTTATAAGTCCCAGTATCTGAGTCCTACCTCTATTCCCCAGAAACAAGAGCCTATGAACTAGCCAACTGGGTCATAATACCAAAATAGGGCTAAATACCACTGCTCTCTGCGCTCTAACATCTCCACCCAGAAAAATCAAAGGCTTGCAGAATGCCATCTCCTAGGTTTCATTTGGCCCTAAAATCTAAAGTTTTTGTTCAGCGTTACCTGGGGAGAAGCCTGGAGATAGATGAAGCCATGTATTGAAAGTCGGCTGGCAAACTCCCGCAGGAGGAAAGTATGCCAATCCTGATAGATATGCCATTCGATGTCACTGAGGGAACCATTCTCAAAAAGATTCTTTGCAAAGATATACCTAGTTGGAAATGTAAGTGGGAGATGGGAGATGGGGGAAGGGAAATAATAGGAATGAAAGACAGAGAAAGAAGCAAAAAAAAAAGTCAATAACCAACGTCTATCTAAACCACTTTCTAGATCATCATCAATCCTTAGGAAATCTCAATTCTAAACCCACAGCTCCCTCCCTGCACAAGTATGCAATGGGAAATAGTACCTAGACATAGAAACTAAAACTACAATTGTCCAGATGAGTAATTATTCAATATAAGAAAAGGAACACTAGAAGAGGAATTCATTGGTCCCTGACAATTTGCCCCATTAGAAACCAGTCAGCAAAGGGTGTGTGTAAACTTGCACCCTGGATATTTCCCTATTTTTATATCAAGGCATCAAACAAAAATCATATGAATGCAGGATAAAGCCAATGTCACATTTAAGGACTAAAGTTTCTGAATCTTCAACTAGAACTATTCTTTAGTTAAAAAATGGAGAAAACTGTTTTTATGTTGTGTCATCTTTATGGAGCAGGAAATCCATTTCCTACTACTTACCAAGAGAGCAGACTTCTCCTGTAAAATATTCTTGCTGGCTTACTTCCTCTGCTGCTGAACTTTTAAGTCAGATAAAAGGAGACTAAAGCTGAAAATCAAACTAGCTTCCCTCCTTTCTTACTTCCACAACAAAAGGAGTATCTAGTAAATTAGGAAATTGGAGCTAAATAGAAACCATAGCTTTAGAAGGGTCAATTCTGCTTTCACCCATCAGTCACCTTAATACAAAACACAATTTACATCTTCAAAAACGAGTTTGTTTCTTAGGCAACGGTCAGTAACTTTCCAGTTCTGGGAAAATGAAATTCAGGATCTCTATGTATGAATGGCTCAGGGAAAAACTAACTGCAAAGCTATGAATGTTGCCCTTATGAGAGTAGGTTTCAGAGCATGTGTACCAGTATTGGAGTTGGGCACTGTCCCTTAGCTTTTTTGCTCCAGGTTGGCAGTCTACTACTTGAAAAACAGCTCTACTTCCAGCTTCTGGTGGCTAAATGGAGATAAGAATCTCACAGATTTTGCTGCCTGGGCTGGGTTCAAACTGTGACCCTCAGATCTCAGCATTCTGGGTAGCTAGGATTATAGGTATAAGCCACTGGCACCTGGCTTCTTGTTTGATTCTAGCTGTAGAAGTCCCTAGCCATGCCACCTTAGAAGTCATCTAAGTTCTCTCAGCCTACTGTTGTGATGACTGCATACTGTGCTTAGAATGGCTGGCACAGAGTATTAAACAAATCTCAGTATTATAACTGCTTTATGTTAAGATATGAAGAAGCTAATTTGGAAACTTCAAAAGTAACCTTTCCTAGTCTGAAATGGTTTAGATGAAGGCCTAAGAAAAAGGTGACTTTTTGTAATTCATGTTCTAAAAAATGTTGTCAGTGTCTCCACAGATAATTAGAAGATGCAATTTAGATCTTTTCTGTTTTTGAGGCAGTGTCTGTTTTTGAGACAGTCCAGGCCAGCCTCAAACTCACAATCCTCCTGCCTTAGCTTCCCAAGTGCTGAGATTACATGTACCACCAGGATTGAAATTATAATTTTTTTTTTTGGGTCCAGTCGTGGGGCCTGAACTCTGGGCCTGGGAGATGTCCCTCAGCTCTTCAGCTCAAGGCTAGCGCTCTACCACTTGAGCCACAGCGCCACTTCCGGCTTTTTTCTTTTTGCTTATGTGGTGCTGAGGAATCGAACCCAGGGCCTCAGGCATTCAAGGCAAGCGCTCTACCACTGAGCCACCTTCCCAGCCCCTGAAATGATGATTTTTTAAAGAAAAACAAGTCTTACAAAAGGGGCCCTACTCTCCTGAGGATGAGTTCTTCTTTCTCCAAAGCTAGTGATGACAAATGAAAGCAGGTAGAAGTGCAAGGCAGCTGAGCATGGTGGCACACATCTATGATCCAAGTGTTCAGGAAGCTGAGGTAGGAAGATTGTGCATTCAACTAGCCTGGGTTACATAGAGACTGTTTCCCCATCCAAAAAAAAAAAAAAGAGTGAAGTGTTAAATACTTAAAGTGAGGGCAAACATGTAGACTAAATGAAGAGGCTTTGGAGAGGAATAGACTATAAGGAACATTTGGGTGCTTTGTTCTAAAATCACATGCTGGTATGTCTTTTAATTCAATCAGAAAAGACTTAGATTTCTTCCTCCTCATAATTTACTCTCCCCAATAAACTCTGTTTTTCCTTTGGAGCATACATTACACATATATGAGCATATATTCTGAGAACAAATTCAGTATCTGTTGGATGAGTATCCTTAGAGAGTCAAGGACTCAATCGGCCTCCTCTGTGTTGAAATGGAGACTCTTGAACTCTTTTTGCCTGGGCTGGACTTTAACTGTATTCCTTTGATCCCTGCCTCTAAGTACTTAGGATTATAGGGTTGAGCCACCTTGTCCTATATTCATCTAGAGGTATGACTCAAGCGATAGAGTGCTAACCAGTGAGCAAAAACCTGAGGCCCTGAGTGCAAGTCCTAAACCTGGAAAAAGAATAGAAAAAACATTTTTTTCAAAGTACAATTTTCTTTTAGGGGCAGTACTAGAGTGTAAATTCTGGGCATAGCACTTGAGTTACATTGCCAGTACTGCTTTTTTTCCTTTTTTAAATTTTTTTATTGTGATTAAGTGATTACATACATTTCACAAATTTCATAGTATTGTGAGATATTGATATTTAAAGTCACAAACACATTCTAACCTTCATGAGGCAAACTGTCATTATCGTAGTTTATAAAGTTTGTGAATTCTATGAGCTTTGACAATACAGCTATTTCTTCCACATCGGGTGATACATTTCTTTCCTTCTGCTTAGTGTCAGCTGTTCCCTCTATCCCTCTCATTCCCTCCCTCCCATCGCTGCCCTGGAGTTGCTTAGTTTTTCATCAATGTCCAATGCAGCTGATGGGTCCCTCTGTTGTATGTTTTCCCCTGTTTCCTTGTTTCTGTGTCTTCCTCCTAGTTTCCCTCAGATGTGTGTATATATACCATATATGTGGTCAGCAGCATGGGGTCATTTAGTGATGATACGACAAGATGAGTGGAGGTCCTTTGTTTCTTGAGTCCTGTTTACTTTGTTGTATCTCCTTACATTTTGTATTTAACATTTACATATCAGGGAGACCATGTGACATTTGTCTCTTTGCTCTTGGTTTACCTCACTCAAAATGATTTTTTCTAGTTCTATACATTTCCCTGCAAATGCCATTATTTTGTCCTTTCTAATGGCTGAATAATGTTCCATTGTATATAAGTACCACAAGTTTTGGATCCATTCATCTCTTCCTATCCAAGAACATGGAACTTCTTTCCATTTCCTGGTGTCTTCTCTGATTTCTTTAAGTTTTTATAGTTTTCATTAAATAGTTCATTTATATCTTTGGTTAGGTTAATTCCTAAATTTTTTTTTTTGAGGTTATTGTGAATGGGTTTGTTTCCTTGATTTCCCTTTCTGCTTGTATGTTGTCGGTATACAGAAAGGCAACTGATTTTTGTGGGTTAATTTTGTATCTTGCTACTTTGCTGAAATGGTTTATAAGTTCTAAGAGTTTAGGAGTGGTGTTTTTGGGATCACTGAGGTATATTAATATGCCATCTGCAAAAAGGGATAGTTTAACTTCTTCCTTCCCTACGCGGATACCTTCAATGTCTTTTTCTTGCCCTATTGCTCTGGCTAAAGACTCCAGAACCATATTGAAGAGGAATGGAAAGAGTGGGCATCCTTGCCTTGTTCCTAATTTTAGGACAATTGGTTGCAGTTTTTCCCCATTAAGTATAATATTGGCTATTGGTCTGTTGTATATGGCTTTTATTGTTTTAAGGAATATTCCTTCTATTCCTATTTTCTTCAGAGCTTTTAACATGAATGAATGTTTCATTTTATCAAAAGCTTTTTCCACGTCAATGGAGATTATCATGTGGTTCTTGACCTTGGATCTGTTGATGTGATGGACTAATTTATTGATTTATGTATGTTAAACCATCGCTGCATCTCTGGGATGAAGCCTACTTGATTGTAATGTATGATTTTTTTGATATGCTTCTGGATTCTGTTGGCTAAAATTTTATTGAGGAGCTTTGCATCAGTGTTCATCAAGGAGATTGGTCTGTAGTTCTTAGTTTTGGTTGGATCTTTGCCTGGTTTGGGGATGAGCGTGATATTGGCTTCATACAATGAGTTTGGGATAGTTTCCTCTGTTTCTATTTTTTGGAAGAGTTTGAGGAGTATGGGTATTAATTCCTCTTTAAAGGTCTTATAGAATTCTGTAGTGAGTCCATCTGATCTCGGGCTTTTCCTTGTTGGAAGACTTCTGATTGCTTCTTCTCATTGTAAGATATTGGCTTATTTAATTGATTTAATTCCTTTTGTTCCAATTTGGGCAATTTGTATTTCTCTAAAAACTCATCCATTTCTGCTAGCTTTTTCTTCCTTAATAAGCAGATTCTGGAAATAATTCTTTATAATTGTTTGGATGTCTTGGGTATTTGTTGTAATTTTTCCCATGGCATCCCTGATCTTATTGATTTGGCTTTCCTCTCTTCTTTTTGTTAGTTAATCTTGCCAGAGGTCCATCAATTTTATTGATCCCTCCCCCAAAAAACAGCTTTTTGTTTCATTAATTTTATTTATAGTTTTCTTAGTCTCTATCTTGTTAATTTCAGCTCTTATTTTGGTTATCTTGTTATGTCTAGTAACTTTAGGTTTGATTTTTTCATGCTTTTCTAGCAGTTTTAGTTGCAACATAAGATTATTTACTTAGTCTGCTTTATTTCTTTGATGTGTGCACTGAGAGCAATACATTTGCCCCTCAGGACTGCTTTTGTCATATCCCACAGGTTTCTTTTGTGATGTATATTCATTTTCATTGAATTGTAGGAACTTTTAAATTTCTTCTTTAATTTCTCCTGTCACCTAGGTGTTGCTCAGAAGTGTGCTGTCCAATTTCCATGTATTTGAGTAATTTCTACGGTATGCTTTGTTATTGAGAACTAGCTGATTCCATTGTGGTCAGATAGAGTACAGGGGATTATCTCAATCCTCTTGTATTTGCTTAAATTCCTTGTATGAACTATAATATGGTTTATTTTGGAGAAAGTTCCATGGGCTGCTGAGAAGAATGTGTACTGGGTTGTTGTAGGGTGGAAAAGTTGGTAGATGTCAATTAACTCTGCTAGAGATATGGCATCATTTAATTTGGAGGCTTCTTTGCCAGTCCTCTGGTTGGTAGACCTGTCCTTTGGTGAAAGTGGAGTATTAAAGTCTCCTAGTATTTTTTTTATTGTATTTGAACTTAATTTATTCTTAATTTATTGGGTGCACCAATGTTTGGGGAGTGTAAGTTGATAATAGTAATATCTTCTTCTTGGATTATTCCCTGTATTAATATGTAGTGTCCTTTTTTGTCTTTTTGTATTGATCTTAATGAAAAGTTTATTTTGTCAGATATCAGTATAGCAACTCCTGACTTCTTGTTGTTTTGTTTTTGCCAGTCCTGGGGCTTGAACCCAGGGCTGGGCACTGTCCCTGAGCTTCTTTTGCTCAGGGCTAGCACTCTGTCATTTGAGCCACAGCACCACTTCTGGCTTTTTTTGCTTATGTGCTATGGAATCAAACCCAGGGCTTCATGCATGCTGGGCAAGCACTCTACCACTAAGCTACATACTCAGCCCATCTTCTGATTTCTTGATGGGAGCATTTGCATGGTAGGTTTCCTCCATCCCTTCCCTCAGTTTGTTTTTATTATCTTTGGTTGTGAGATGGGTCTTCGGAAGGCAACAAATGGATGGGTCTTGTTTTCTGAAACAATCTACAGTTCTTTTTCTTTTGATGGATGAATTGAGCCCATTAATATTTATGGCTATTATAGAGAGATGCATTGTATTTCTTGTCATTTTCCTTTCCTACATTTTTCTTCTTTCCTTTCCTCCTGTGCTTACTAAGTTGGACTTTAGTGATATCTGTCTGATGTGGATCCCTGATCTTGATTTGTTTTTTTCAGATTGTATTTCCCCTCTCAATATTCTCTGAAGTGCTGGCTTATTGTTTATGAATTAATTCATTTAGTTTTTCTTTACTATTAAAAATTTTAGTTTCTCCATCGAATGTGAATGCTAGCTTTGCTGGGTATACCAGTCTGGGTTGAGTCATTGGTTCTCAGGGCTTGGGTGGTATTTTCCCAGGCTTTCCTTACATTCAATGTCTGTGTGGAGAGATCTGCAGTGATTCTGAGCTTTTCCCCATTATAATATAGCTTCTTCTTTGTTTATGTTGCATGCAAAATTGTTTTTTATTATTCAGATCTATCATTTTTACTATAATGAGCCTAGAAGTGTTCCTCCTGGGATCCTGCTTGTTAGGTGTTCTGTTATGTCAGTAAGACTTTCTCTTTTAAGATTGGGGAAATTTTCGGTGATAATCTTATTGAATAGGTGTGGCATTCCTTTATTCTGGTATTCCTCACTTTCATCTACCCCAATTAGACAAAGGTTAAATTTCTTGGCATTGTCTGCTTCTTCTTGGACTTCCCTTTGGCATATCTGTGAACTTTTTTTTCCAGTTGCTGCATTTCGTCTTCTGTACCTGATATTCTAATTTCTATTTTATTCACTATGTTAACGATGGCTTCCATTGTGGTTTGTATGGAGGAAATTGAACCATTTATGACTTCTATGTTGGTTCTCAGAGTGTTAATCTCATCTCTGAGCAAGGTGTGTACTGCATCTATTTTTTAATGAATCTCCTGTTTGAAATCTTGTATCTCTTTTGATAATTCATTATTTTTTTCTTTTAATTTCTGATCTATCTCTTACTTTAATTCTTGAGTTATTGCCTCTAACATCTCTTGGATGTAGCGTTTGTCCTCCATTCTTGTTTTGCTTTCACTGGGGCTCTTCCCTGGGTGGCTGTTGGCCCTTGGGGGTGGCTTGCTAGCCTGGGTATTGATAAATCTTGTAATTTTTCACTGTAATTTTTGCATGGGGATTCAGGGATTATTGGAGACCAATCCCAAACTCTGACTGTTTTGATTAATAGGTGGCTGTCTTTGTTTGGTTCTGGGTTGGTTCCTGGATCAATTGATGAAGATCACTGTTGTCCCTGGATTGGTTGATTCTTTACTGGTTTTGTTTCTGTTGGGGGAAGAGGCCAACCTCCATCTGCTAGTCTGACCCAGGTAGGATTTGCAGCTGTCTCCTGGAGATCAGAGGCAGTTCCCACCTTCAGCCAAGGACTAAGCAGCCTAGACTGCTTGTGCTCCCCTCTAGGGGTGCAAGACTGGGTGGGCTGGGTGTATTCTTCCAGTCCACTATGAGTTCCTGACTATAATCAGGTGCTGGTGGCCTGAGCTGTCCAATTCCTAGCCTGGGATACACAGTTCAGGCTCTGGTGGGATTTGGGCTTCTGGTTCTCCCACCTTGGACACACATGTCTTTTGCTATCACAACACAAGCACAGTTCCTTGCTTTCCCCCCTCTGCTGAGGTGTGTGCTCAACTTCTGACTTTAATCGGACAGGTGGGTTATGTAGCTCAGGCGCCTGATCCTCAGGCCTGGCCCCGGCTGCCAGTCCCCAGCCTGGGACACACTGGTTGGGCTCAGATGGTACCTGTGCTACTGAGTTTCTGGCCCAGGGTACACAGTTCCGATTTCTTCTGCCACTGGCTGCTGTGGCCTGGGCACCCAGGCCACAGAAGCCTGTTCCCGGCTTGAGTTTTCGCACTCCCTCCCAGGAGCACTCTTGGTCAAGCCTGGTGGGCTAGGTATGCTCCACAGGCTGGTGGGGCACTTGCACAGTTCCCAGTTTTAGTGGGACCTGTAGTCCAGGGGGTAGGGGTAGGAGTCCAGGGCAATCTCTGGGGGTTATCGCCAGCACTGATCTCCCTTGGTTGGGGAGGCTATCCCCCGTGGGTACTCACTTATTCTGGAACTGGTTGGGAGCTGTCCAGTGGTGCTGCAGCAGATCGCTGTTTATGTGTGTTGTAGGTTGCTGGTTGCCACCATGCTCTGTTTTCTGTTGAGATGATTGAGGGCTAGGCTGGGTGGTGGTGGTGGCTCCAGGTCTGTGTTCACATGTCTCTGCCTCTGTTTATGCTTTCCAGGTTGGCGCTGTGGGCGTTTTTTGCGCTGGCCTCCTATGGACTGCTGTGGTTCTGGGGGGGCCAGGCAGCTTTGGAGGGATGGCACTGAACCGCTCTGCCAGTGAGGGGTGGGGGAGGGGTTTTCATGCAGGTTCTGAGCTCTGAGGTTTCAGTTTCTGTTTGCACTCTCCAGGTCAGCACCAGCACTTTGGGAGTCTTCTACACTGGTGTTCTGTGAATGGATCCCTGTAGTTCTGGGGTTTTCCCCCATGGCTGTGGGGCCAGGTGGCTTTGGTGGGATGATGTGGGGCTGCTCAGCTGGTGAAGGGTGGGGGAAAGGTCTTTGTGCAGGTTCCAAGCTCTGAGGTGTCTCTGTTTACAATCACTGGGTCTGGCACCAGCACCTTGGGAGTCTTCTGCACTGGTGTTCTGCAGACGAACCACTGTGGTTCTGGGGTCTCGGGCATGCCTGGGCCAGGCCGGGCTATAGTTTGGTAGGGAGTTGCGCTGCCAGCAAGGGGTGGGGGAAGGGTCTTCACCCTTTTCCATTCTCAAATTTTTTTTGGAAGCACTGTGGTTCTGGGGTCTCCGGTATACCTGGTTCAGGCAGGGCCACTGTTTGTCAGGAAGTTGTGTATCTTCGCGTTTTTCTGTTCTGAAATTTTTTTCCTTTTCCCTTTTTTTTCCAACCTCCTGTTTTTCTCTGGGTGTTTGCCTTTGCTACCATTGATCTCTTGGGGAAACGGAGTGTTGGAACTTCAACTCTCTATTTGGTTGCAGAGAGAGCTGTGGTGTTTCTCTACTGTTCCATCACCATCTTGGCCCCCCCTCCACCTTCTTTTTTTTTTTTTAAATAGTCTTACAGACTTTTTTTTTGCCTGAGTTGGCTTTAAATCATGATCCGTTGGATCTCAGCCCCTTGAGTAGCTAGGATTACAAGCTTGGGCCACCAGTGCCTCACATCAAAGTACAATTTCAATAGCTAGAGTAGTGCAGGGTCTGTATAAGAAAATAAAACTGCAGAACTAAGTGTCAGGCTTCTAGTTAGAAGCCTGGTGACTTACCTGTCGCTGTACACAGATCTCTCAAAGATCTGTACTGGCTTCTCAGCCTGTAAAAGTTTCTCAGGGAAAGGCTCCAACTGTATTTTCAGGCGGCTCATAAAGGAATATGTCTGGAATGTGTAGGACCATCGTGCTGGCTCCTGATACATCATGTCCAACAAGTTTCCAAGACGTGGGGTAGTGTCATCCTAGAGGGGATGATAAAAGTAGAGAATTTCCTAGAAGGTGTATTTATTCCACAGTATATACTTTACTCCATGCCCTTAATATTCAATGAAGAAGAATTTTTTTTTATTGTGAAAATACTGTACAGAGGGGTTACAATTACATGGGCAAGATAATGAGTACATTTCTTATCAAGCATTGTAGCCTCCTCCTTTGTTTCTCCTTCCCATCCCATCCTCCCCCCACCCCCTGCTCCCCATAAAGAAGAAATTACATGGCTAGTGGAATGCTTCCAGTGGTAGAGTACTTGCCTAGCAGTAGTATGAGGCACTGAGTTTAATCACTAGCACCATTTTAAAAAATGAAGGAAAAAAGTTTCCTTCTTAAAAAAATACAGGAAAGCGTTGAGTACCAGTGAGAGTAAGGAGGGCTACAAAAGGGAGTGAATGAGGATGAAAACAGTTGATGTGGTTATTCTGCAGTACAAGGTACAGTACAATGAAACCTGCTGAGTTTTAAGAAGGAGGAGTGGACCAGGTGCTGGCAGCTCACACCCATCATCCTAGCTACTCAGCAAACTGAGGCCTGTAGAGTCTCAGTTTAAAGTCAGCCTTGGCAGAAAAGTTCAGTAGATTCCATGGTAAATTAATCAGCAAAATGACAAACAGGAGGTGTGGCTCCAGCAGTAGAGCACTAGTAAGCAAACTGAGGTGAGTAAGCAGACTGATATCACAAAGCCCAGAGGTAAGCCCTGGTACCAACAGACAGACAGACAGACAGACAGACAGACAGACAGACAGACAGACAGACAGACACACACACACACACACACACACACACACACACACACACACACACACACACACACACACACACAGTGGCTCATAATTATAATTCTAATTATTCAGGACTGAGGTTCAGAATCAGACTAGACAGACAAATCTGAGAAACCCTTATTTTTAATTAACTCTAGAAGTGAAGGAATAGCAACGATGGCAATAATAGAAGCACCAAGTGCTTAATATGTGCTAGGCACTGTTCTAAACATTATTATACACTTTAGTTCAATGGCTATCACTTTTTTTTTTTTTTGGTATCAGTCCTGGGGCTTGAATCTGGGCTTGGGCACTATTCCTGAACTTTGTTCTCAAGGCCAATGCTATACCACTTGAGCCACAGTTGTTCTTTCTGCTTTTTGGTGGCTAATTGGAGATAAAGGTCTTGTGGACATTCCTGCTTGGGCTGGCTTTGAACCTCTAGCCTCAGATCTCAGCTTCCTATCTAGGATTACAGGCGTGAGCTACTGGCACTTGGGTAATGAATGTCACATTTTAAAAAGCAAATCAATTTTCTATCATAATGCATACATATATATATACACACACACACATATATATTTATATGCACACACATATGTAACAAAACTCTAGTCAAACAGCACTAACTACTACTTGGCATTCCAAGTAGTAATCTAGAAATGTATGTTCACTATTACAATAGTAGAAGCAATCATAGCCGGGTGCTGGTGGCTCACGCCTATGATCTTGGCTACTCAGGAAGCTGAGATCTGAGGATCACAGTTCAAAGCCAGCCTAGTCAAGAAAGTCTGTGAGACTCTTATCTCTAATAAATGACCAGAAAAATGGAAGTAGCACTGTAGCACAAGTGGTAGAGCATCAGCCATGAGCAAAAAACTTGAGACCCTGAGTTCAAGTCCCAGTATGGGCAAAGAAAAAGGGGGCATGGGATGTGGGACAGAGGGGTGATATTGATTAGGATGAATTGTATACATATGTGGAAATGTCACAATGAACTCTCCCTTGTAAAACTAATGTATGCTAATAAAAAAATACAATCAGATCCTCCAGCTTACTTGAAACCTGAGGAAGAGATTCTCCTGCCTTATTAGACAAAAATTCGACAGAATGAGGTTATATGCCACCTTCAATATAACAGAAGAGATCAGGACAAAACCCATTCATGGACTTGTGGGGTCTGAGGTGCGGTAAGTGAACTATCAATGACCATCTAAACTTCTACTTTGATCCAATGACTCATGCCTGTAATCCTAGCTACTCAGAAGGCTGAGATTTGAGGATCTTCTTTCAAAGCCAGACTGGTCATAAGAGTCTGTGAAGATGCTTATCTCTAAATAACCAGCAAAAAAGCCAGAAGTAAGGGGGCGCCGGTGGCTAATGCCTATAATCCCAGCTACTCAGGATGTTGAGATCTGAGGATCATGGTTCAAAGCCAGCCCAGGCAGGAAACTCTGTGAGACTCTTATCTCCAATAAACTACAAGAAAACCGGAAGTGGCACTGTGACTCAAGGGGTAGAGCACTCACCTTGCGCTGAAGAGCATAGGGACAGCACCCAGGCCCAACGATCAAGTCCCACGACTGACAAAAAAAAAAAAAAAAAAAAAAAGAGCCAGAAGTGTAGCTGTGGCTCAAGTAGTAGAGTGGTAAAAAGCTAAAGCCCTGAACTTAAGCCCTATTACCAGTACTAAATAAACACACACACACACACAATTCCACTTTGAATAAAATCCTTCCACTGTAACACTATATTGACTTTCTTATTTTTTTTTTTTTTTTTTTGTCGGTCGTGGGGCTTGAACTCTGGGCCTGGGCACTGTCCCTCAGCTCTTCAGCTCAAGGCGAACACTCTACCACTTGAGCTACAGCGCCACTTCCGGTTTTCTGGTGGTTTATTGGAGATAGGAGTCTCACGGTCTCTCCTGCCCGGGCTGGCTTTGAACCGCGATCCTCAGATCTCAGCCTCCTGAGTAGCTAGGATTACAGGCGTGAGCCACCAGCGCCCGGCCGACTTTCTTATTTTTTTTTATTTTTTATTTTTTATTTACACCTCCATTTCCAAGTTTTGATTGTTAATTGGAGATAGTAGTTTCACAGACTCTCTCTGCCTAGGGTGGTTTATAAACAAGACTCTTAGATCTCAGCCTACTGAGTAGCTAGGATTACAGGTGTCTGCCAAGTGTCAAGCCTGGCTTAACTTTCTTTTTATTTTTTTTTGTTGGTCATGGGCGCTGTCCCTATGCTCTTCAGCTCAAGGTGAGTGCTCTACCACTTGAGCCACAGTGCCATTTCCGGTTTTCTAGTAGTTTATTGGAGATAAGAGTCTTGTGGACCTTCCTGCCTGGGCTGGCTTTGAACCTTGATCCTCAAATCTCAGCCTTCTGAGTAGCTAGGATTACAGGTGTAAGCCACCGGTGCCCAGCCTTTCTTTTGAGACTCCATCTATAGCTATTTCTTTCTGAAACTTTAAGGCAATTTTTTTAAAGCAATTGCTTATTTCAAAGTCCACTTAACCGACAAATAAAACCAATAGAATTATATAACCTTTCATAGAAGGGTTATACTTTCTAAAACAAACAACCAAGATCCTCTTTCATTCCAGAGACTTTATGGAATGCACAAGAAAAAGGATGACTAGCATATAAAGAGTCAGTCAGTTAGGCAGAAAGTATTGTGGAGAGAATCTCAGGAAGCTTTGGGAAAGTGGCATTAAGCTAGGAAGTAAATGGTTTATAGAATGTTCACAGATGGAAATTAGTAATTAGGAAGAAAGCACTTCAAGTGTAGACAAAGATAGAGGAGAGGAAAAAAGATTAAAGATTAGATGACAATAAGTAGTCCAAACTGGCTAAACAGAACACTTGGATTACAAAGGCCCTTTGAAAGTTTTCAGCAGATGCTGTACCACTGATCTGAAACATGTAACACTTTCCTACATTAGAAGCTACCTTTGCTATTCTGGGGCAGAAGACAGTTTTAAACACCAACCACTCAGAAATTATACCACCCACATAAATTTCCAAAAAAAAAATATCTTGCTCGTTGCAAGTGGCTCATACGTATAATCCTAGTTACTCAGCAGATAAGATCTGAGGATCAAGGTTCAAAACCAGCCCAGGTAGCTTGTTAATCTCCAATTAGCCATTAAGGTGAGTTGTAGAAGTAGAGTTGAGGCTCAAATGTTATGGCACCAGCTGTGAGTGAAAAAAAGCCCTAAGTTCAAGCCCCAGTACTGGCACATACACACAAACATTTCTCTAGAATATATCCCAGCCAAGTAGAAGATGAGTCAAAATAAAGAGTGAAGAAATAGGAAGCAGAGCGTGGTGGTACATGCTATAATTCTATGCAGTATTTGGAAGACTGAGGCAGAAGCATTGCAAATTTGAGTCCAGGCTGGGATATATAGTGAGATCTTATTACAAAAACAAAAACAAAAAGAAATAAGTGAGTCTTTAACTCCCATATCCCGTGTGGGGAGCAGAAAATGTCTCTCTTTTTCTAGATCTTCTTACTTTACCCTTGTTGTATTAAAATAAGTCCTTGCTAAAACATTAAAAAAAAGAAAATGAAAAAAGGACAAACAAGAAATGGATAAATGTGGTAAAGAAAAAAACAGTAGTTAGTAATAAAACTTGGAGTTAAGTATAAAGCATCTATTATTAATGTGACTATGGAACTTAATGTCAATTTAAGAACTATTAGAAGAGAAATGTTCATACTTCAAAAATTCTATAAATTCCAAGTCCACATAACTTCAATATGCCTGAGGATGTAGCCTGGAAAATATGGTAATAAAAAAGTACTGGTTTTTTATTTTTCTTTCAGAGACTCTATCAGATATATTTTAGACAAATATATTTTAATTTAAAGATTATCACTGGTAGAGAAAAATAGTAAACTGTTTAAATGATAAAAGGGAAGAAGTAAAAGAAAAATTTAAATACAACAAAAAGAATAAAAAAGGTGAAAGTATAAAGTGGCAGACAAATTTTAATAAAGGAAAAAAATTCCCTAAGAAAGCCAAACTGTCAGACTGGGCAAAACAATCCTTAACTGGGTGCCAGTAGCTCACTCCTAACTACTTAGGAAGCTGAGATCTGAGGACTGTGGTTTGAAGCCAGCTCAGGCAGGAAAGTCCATGAGACTCTTATCTTCAATAAATCATCAGAAAGCCACAAGTAGAGCTGTGGCTCAAGTGGCAAAGTACTATCTTTCAGCCAAAAAATTCGGGATGGGAGAGAAGGGAGGGAAGGTAGGAGAAAATCAAGGGAGGGGGTAATAATGTTCTATAAGAAGAATGTAACTGTGACCCTTCTGTACATCAACTTTACAATAAAATTAAAAAAAAAAACACCTCAAAGACAGGGCAAGGAATGTGGCTTAGTGGTAGAGTGCTTGCTTAGCATGCATGTGGCCCTGGGTTCAATTCCTTGGTACCACATAAATACAAAAAATAAATAAGATTATATATTAAAAAAACAAACTTAGAAACAGTATCAAGGCTCCGAGTTCAAGTCCCATGACTGGCATACATACACAAAAAGGAACATTATGAAATATGACAAATATAAAAACAAAAGAAAAATATAAGCAGTATATGGGAACTAATATTCTTTACATATATCGAGACCTCAAAAACCTACTACAGAAAAGAAGTAAAGGTATGACTCAAGTAGTAGAGTGCCAGCCACAAGCAAAAAAGCCAAGTGAGAGCATAAAAGTCAGAATTCAAGTCCTAGCACCTGCATAGAATTAAAAAAAAAAAAAATACATATATAGGGAAAAAAAAGAATGAATAGACAGTTCACTAAATAATAAAAAAGGATGCTCAAAAAGCACTTTCAGTGGACTGAGAAGGTGGCTTAGTGGTAGAGTGCTTGTCTAGCATGCATGTAGCCCTGAGTTCAATTCCTCAATACCACATAAACAGAAAAGGCTAGAAGTGACACTGTGGCTCAAGTGGTAGAGCGCTAGTCTTGAGCCAAAAAAATGAAGCTCAGGAATAGTGCCCAGGCCCCCAGAACTGGCAAAAAAAAAAAAAAAAAGCACTTTCAATTCAGTCAGTCAAAGACATAAATAATATTTTCTTATCTCTTATATTAGCAAGGATGAAAGGAATAATACTTAGTATTACTGAGTATGAGGAAATTGGTACAAATTTTCTGAATGGAAATTTTATACAACATAAAAGTACCAGCAATAAACATAAATTTTGAACATCAATAATCCAGTTCTAGGTGATTGGACAAAAATATTAATGTAAACAAAACCTATTAAACTGGGTGCTTGTGGCTCATGCCTATAATCCTAGCTGCTCAGTAGGCCAAGATCTCAGGAAAGTCCATGAGCTCTCATTTCCAATTAGCCACCCAAAATATCAAAAGTGGAGGTGGCTCCAGTAAAGTCACAGTCTTTAGTAAAAAAACTAAGGGGCAGGCCCATGTTTTGAATTTGAGTCTCAGTACTGGCATACATTCAAAAAATGTAATTATTAAAAAAAGGTTAAACCAGGCACTTGTGGCTCACTCCTGTAACCCTAGCTACTCAGGAGGCTGAGATCTGAGTACTGAGGTTCAAAGCCAGCCTAGGCAAGAAGATCCATGAGACTCATCTCCAATTAACCACCAGAAAACCAGAAGTGGAGCTGTGGCTCAGGTGGTAGAGCACTAGCCTTGTGCTGAAGAGCTCAGGGACAGTGCCCAGGCCCAGAGTTCAAACCCTATAACCAACAAAACAAACAAATAAACAAAAAAAGGTTAAGCTACAAGGATATTCATCATTGAAACACTGTTCTTAATAGAGAAAATCGAAAGCTAAATTCTCAAAATACAGGACTGAATAATTAAGTGATAGTATGTTATATTATGTTGTATACTATAATCATTAACATGGTATTACTGTGGAAGGCTTTGTCTACCAAGTGATAGGCAAAAGGCAATTAAAATTTTTGTTTTGCTGGGTGCTGGTTGCTATGCCTGTAATTCTATCTACTCAGGAGGCTGAGATCTGAGGATCGCGGTTCATAGCTAGCCTGAGAAGGAAGGTCTGTGAGCCGCATATCCAATTAACCACCAGATAATGGGAAGTGGCACTGTGGCTCAACTGGTAGAATGCTCGCCTTAAGCTGAAGAGCTCAGGGACAGCACCCAGGCCCAGAGTTCAAGCCCTACAATGCTCCCCCAAAATAAAGTTTTAAAAAAGCAAATCTGGTGGCAAAGCTGATAGCTTATACTTGTAATCCTAGCTGCTCAGGAGGATCACAGTTCAAAGCCAGCCTAGGCAGGCAAGGCCCTTAGACTCTTATTTCCAATTAAACACCAAAAAGCCAGAAGGAGAGCTGTGGCTTAAACAAAAAAGCCCAGGGACAATGCTCAGGGCCTGAGTTCAAACCCCAGGACTTATGTAAGCATATGTACTTATATAAGCATATATAAATATATGCATTTTCTCTTCTGTAGAAAGAAGTATAAGAGGACAAAAATGTTAAGCATTATGCCCTCAAATACAGGAATATTAGTTGTCTATATGCTGTCTTTACATAGGATACTAGTGATAGCTTAACAACAACAACAAAATCTTTATCTCAGTCTCTGTGGGACAGAAATTTTCTCATGATATTTCAGTCAAGATGTTGACTAAGGTTACAAATCAACTAAAGGCTAAATTAGGATTGAAGGCCCTACCTCCAAGACTACTCCTGAGGCATCAGTTCTTCATGTATGGGCCTCCTTCATAGCACTGCTCCATGATGTAGTAGCTGGCTTCCCCCAGGGCAAGAGAGAAGCTATGTGTCTTCTATGACCTACCGTGGAAGGTTGTACTGTTATTTCTGCCATTCTGTTCATTAAAAATGTATCAAAAAGTCCAGCCCTTACTTGAGGGAAGGAGAAATAATGTTCAAGTCTTGAAGGGAAGACTGTCAAACAATTTGTGAATGTATACTGAAATCCTAACAGGTTGCCTTGACACATATAGAAAAACTGACATAATTTATTTCTAAATGGAAAACTTAAATTCACACATACATGTATGTATATGTATGTACTACCTTCTATCACTCCTAAGATCCCATCTGGAATGTCCTGTTTAGCTCTGAATACCACAAGTAGCAAATTCTAAGTGGAAAATTAAAAAATTGGGGCTTATCATATAAGACAAAGTTATTTTGGAATGAAAACTAGACTGGAGGAAAACCAGAGGTGTTTGGCTTCAAAGAAATAAAACATGAAGCTGGGCACCAGTGGCAAATGCCTATAATCCTAGCTACTACTCAGGAGACTGAGATCTGAGGATCATGATTCAAAGCCAGCCCGGGCAGGAAAGTCCGTGAGACTCTTATCTCCAATAGCCACCAGAAAACCAGAGGTGGTAGAGCACTAGCCCTTAGCTGAAGAGCTGAGAGACAGCACCCAGGCCCAGAGTTCAAGCCCCACGACTGACACAAAAGAAAAAAAAGGAAGGAAGGAAGGAAAGAAAGAAGGAAAGAGAGCAAGCAAGCAAGCAAGAAAACATGAGAGAAAAAGTGAGCCATCCTTGCCTTTAAACATACATAGGGTTATCATACGGAAAAGCTAAAGAACTCAAGAGGCAGAACTTTAACCAATGAGTCAGAGTCCTTGAAGTTCAATATAGTTCAATATAAGGAAGGAGCGTCTAACAATTAAAGAGCTGGAAAAAACAAGCCACTTCAGATTAAGCCACTTCGAATGTTCTAAGTATCTGCAGGAGAAGTTCAATAGGGCACAGTGCTACCGCTCCCTCAACTACAATCGTTTCACATCCAAACAGACGTGGTTCCTGTAGAAACCAACCCTATAGTCTTTACCAAAGAAGCCTGTCTGCCACTGGGGCCTGTGTGATGAGGTATAAGCAAAGCACATGGTGCTGAATACCAGTGGCTCACGCTTATAATCCTAGTGACTCAGGAGACTGAGATCTCAGGATGGCGATTCTAAGTCAGCCTGGGCAGGAAAGTCTATGAGACTTTTATTTCCAATTAGCTACCAAAATAACTGGAAGTAGATTTATCACTCAAATGGTAGAGTGCTAACCTTGTGCACTAATGCTCAGGGACATCACCCAGGCCCTGTGTTCAAGCCTCAGGACTGGCACAAGAAAACTAAAAACACATGGTGCTTAGTATGGAACAGTGCCTGGCATACAGTAATAATGTGCTTTATAAATGTTAGCTGTTACCTCTACTTTGACTCGAAGTGTGACAAGATGCTTTGTAAGATTCCTTTCCTAAGACTTTGTCATTAATTATTGATTCTGATGGTCAGCTTCAGTCATAATAATATGAAAACTTAAGGGTAGGAATGACAAAACTCATCTTCAAACCGAGACATGCTTTGGGAAACCACAAAGAAAAGAGGCAAGCACTTATTCAGACGTATAAAAACCACAAAAATCAAAACTAAACTTATTCAAACAAGTCATATCCTTTTTGGTGTATATGTGGTCTACTTTCTGGAATGAAGCTATTTTAAATAGGAGACAAGCTGGGCTACTTCATCTCCTCAGAGAAAATTAAATTATTACAATTAGATTACTCACCCATGCCTGCCAACTACCCACCACAACTGGAAACTTACTTTTTGGGTGCCAGCAGCTTGGATATTCTGCCAGGTTGCCACAGGTTCTGTAGCAACGTGCCACTCTGGGTAAGTTTTAGTGAGTAACTTCACGAAGGTGGACTTCCCCACAGCTGCAATGCAAACAGCACGTGTTGGGATGCTTCCCAAAGCAGGCTGAGGAAAAAGGCTGCTACTAAACTCTGCCAGTCATACAAACAAGCACCAGATTTTCCAACTTAAATTTAACAGTCATATCAGTTACTGTCAGACTGATGATGGGTCAGGCAGTCACCACAGTGCATAAAAGCAACAGGAAGGAGAAATTCTGAGGAGCTCATTTGCAATTTTGATGGCCAGCTTCTCAGAGATAGAGTATTTAGTAGCAGCTGAAAATGTACAACCATAAAAAGTGGATAAAATCAGTTACATAAATTACAAAGCTTCAGTCACAGTTCTATTGCTTCTATGACAATGTAAAAATTACAAGTGGAAACAGTTATCCTCATTCATTCAACAAGTCTAACAAATTTTTTAGAATGCTATGTGCTCAAGACTGTTCAACCCTGAAATATAATGAAGAACAAAACACTGAATGAATTTTGTCCTCATAGCACTAGTATAGATGATATATACCAAAACACACAAATAAACTATTAGTGCTAGGAAGGAACAATGGAGAATAACTCTAATATATTTCAGGAGTTCGGGGAGGGCTCCTTCAAAAAAAAAGGGGGGGCATATGAGAGAAGACCCCAACAGATGAAGTTACCCAGGCCAAAGATAGAGGGACAATCCATGAACAAGGATGAGCAAAAGACAGGAGGCGAGAAAGGACTCAACATGTGACAAGACAGTGAAGTTGGAGGCCATATAAGAAGCTAGGAGAGTTACACGATGAGCATATAAGGGAGAAAAGTGGCTTAACAAGGAGCGAGGCTGGGGGCTGGGAAGGTGGCTCAGTGGTAGAGTGCTTGCCTTGCAAGCATGAGGCCCTGGGTTCGATTCCTCAGCACCACATAAGCAAAAAGAAAAAAGCCGGAAGTGGTGCTGTGGCTCAAGTGGTAGAGTGCTAGCCTTGAGCTGAAGAGCTGAGGGACAGCACCCATGCCCAGAGTTCAGGCCCCACAACCGGACCCAAAAAAAAAAAAAAAAAGAAGGAACGAGGCAGGCAGACAGGCAGTTCAGGGCCAGGTCACACAAGAACTTGTAGGGGTGGTAAGAAGATTGAATTAGAAGGGCAAAGAAAAGTCAGCGAGAATGGGATTTGGGTAGGGAAATTACCAACACCTGTAACCCTAGCTATTTGAAAGTTGAAACTGGGAGGATAGAGGGTTGAAGTCAGACTGGGCAGAAAAGTCTAAGAGACTCTATCTCCAATTAATCAGCAAAATGTCAGACTGGAAAAATAGTTCAAGTAGTAGAGCCTCAGCTATGAGTCAATAAGCTGAGCAAGAATTCAAGGCCAGAATGTCAAGCCCCAGAACAAAGAAAAGAAAAAGATATAAGATCATTAGGTAAAGAGAAGCAGAAGTAGGCAGATGAGTCTAAAGTTACTAGTAGTTGAACCATAGCAATGGCAAAGAGATGCAAAGTAGATGCATTTAGAAATATTTTATAGGTAGAGTCAATCTAGTACCACAACACTCAAATTACCTTTTCCCATCTACACCAACCTTTGACCCATTAACTCTCCTGAACTCTGGATATACAGAGCCCTCCAGATTTCTTCATTTGGACATCCCATGAATACCCAGTTGATATATTGCTCAAGCGAACTTATCATGTACCAAACGGAGCTTCCCACTGTATCCCAGACCTTGGGGGTATGGCAACAATATCCATTCACTGTCAGAATTTCTCCCTTTGCCAATCCCTAAGTGGCTCTTTGCTGCTACTTTTTCATTTGTCCTTTTCTTTCCATTCTCATTTCCATGCTCAAAACCAGGTTCTCATCTCTTTTCTTGCCAACTCAAGACTGTTCTCTTCAATGCAACCTCCACTGCAGTAGCAATGCATGTGAGACACTACTTATAATCCTTTCACTGCTCCTAGTTGTCTTCAAGATGAAATCCAAACCTGTTAGCACACATATTCTATGAGATACAACAGGATGTATCTTCTGCATGTATTTCTCTGGCCTTAGTTTTCTTGTACTCTGCTGGACCAAGCTCCATGCAACCACAATCATACTGTGCTCTCTCTTGCAAATGTAACTTTACATTGCTTTCCCATTTGTTCTTCATCTGGTCTACTCCTGCTCAGTTTTTAAGGTTCTGCTAACATGTACCTGCTCTTCAAGCCTTTCCAAACCAATACCTCCCAACTGGATTAGCTAACCATCCTTTGTGCTTGGCTTGATATTCTAAATGAGTCCACTGCAATTTGGGGTCCTCAGGATAAGAGAATAAAGCCCTTGCCTAAGGTCCTGCCAGAACAAATAAAACACATATTAATTTCAGTTTTCTCTGAAGTTTACATTTGTGAAAGATGACCACAACCACAATAAATGTGAACATTTGGAGTGTCTTTGGAGATCCAGCTCCTCTATCAGAAGTGGTCTTTATCAACTGGAACCCATCCTTTAGAGGAATTCAAATGGAATCCAGAGAAAGAAGAGGCACATCCTTCCAGTCGATTCTATCAGTCATTTGCATTAACTGATTAGGTGTGCTGATATTTCAGCACATGAGCCCACACATCCAATATGACACTGATTACACACCACTCCAAATTTTCTCTCAATACAGAGGATAAGAACAAACATGAATGTGTGCATTTTGTACAGTCATGCTTTTCTTAGTCCCCACCTCCAGCCAACTTGTGCCTTTTCATTTTGCTCAGCCTTTGTTCTTCCCACACACCAGTGAGTAAATGTCTTCCCTACTAAGCCTAAGGTTTCATCTCCTCCATGAAGTTCAAGATTTCTCTAGCTCATATTTAATTCCTACCACTCTGGCCAGCTACCATTCGGTTGAGTTTGTATATTTTAGAAATCTGCCTGACTTGAGTAGACCCTAGCTTAAAATATTTGGCCTAGATTAAGTCAATATCTAGATTGCCGGCTGTTCAGTAAGTTTGAAACATGGTCCCTGTTTAAAGGCTGAAAAGCTATTTTATATGAGAAGATAAAGACAATGGTTGAGTTGAATGGTTGTTAGATTTATTATTAAGTTAAAAACAATTATCTAAAGCTAGGTACTGGTGACTCACAACTGTAATCCTAGATACTTAGGAAGCTAAGATTGGGAGGATAATGGTTTGAAGCCAGCCTAGGCAGAAAGTTAATGAGACTCCTCAATGCATAGCTGGCACAGTGGTGTCCACCTAGCATCCCAAGCTACGTGGGAGACTGAGAATCAGGGTTCCAGGTCAGTCCAAGCAGAGAAGTCTGCAAGACTCCATTTCCAGAGGGAAGCATTCAGCTTTTAGGTGACTTAAACCTAAAATCCCAGGAAGTAAAGGAAGTCTAAAGTAGGTGGATCACAGTCTAGGTGTATAGGTTTAGGAAGCAAGATGCTATCTTAAAAACAAACTAAAAAATGAGGGGTAAAGGTATGCCTCAGCAGTAATGGGCCAATCTAGCAAATGTGAGGCTCTGAGTTCAAACTCAGTACTGAAAAAGAAATTACTTATCAGCTGTTGCAGGAAGTGGCGCTGTGGCTCAAGTGGTAAAGTGCTTGCCTTGAGCTGAAGAGCTGAGGGACAGCTCCCAGGCCCAGAGTACAAGCCCCATGACTGACAAAAGAGACAGAGAGATATTTAAGGATCCCAGTTCAAAGCCACCTGGGCAGGAATGGCCATGAAACTCTTATCTCTAATAAATCACCAGAAAACCAGAAGTGGCATTGTGGCTCAAGCGGTAGGACATTAGCCTTGAGCTGAAGAGCTGAGGGACAGTTTCCCAGAGTTCAAGCCCAATGACCTACAAAACAAAAACAAAAACAAACAAACAAAAAAAGATGTTGCAAATGGAAGAAAAGGGTTCTGAGGTTAGAAAATGGCAACTTTATCTGTGGGACCAACACTATTAATTCATCTAAGGGCAGTCAGAACTCTGAGAAATCTACTCATGTGATTTAAACACACAAAATCTAGAATGCCAATACATTAGATGTAATAAGAAACATACAGTTTCAGGCACTGGAACAAATCACTTTGGAGGCCCAGAGCACCCTACATCCCATTTCTAGGCTTCTGGAAAGCCAGTTTAGTCAGAAGTCAGTTTCAGCATACAGTGTCAGTAATCAGTTGAAGGTCTTAAGTCCTGTGCAATATGTGTTGGCAGGCTTGGAGAGTCTGAGTAATTCACCAAAAGGCAGTGTTTCCTTAACTAATTCCACTGGAACCAATCTCTGCTAGGTATTATCCACAGATGTGGAATAATTACTTAAAATAATGCAAAGTTAAATATTTACATTAGAACTAGAGACAGCCTAACTTTTCCAGTGCTGTACTACCTGCTGTTTCTTCTAGCTTGGATGTTTTTGTTTGAAAGTGTTCCCCAGGGTTTCGTGAGAATGGTAGCATTTATTTGGCTCTCTACTGCCACAGAGGCCTCCTACTGACAAGAACATGCATGTCTACAGACAGCCTTATTTCTTCAGACAACACTGGTCTCTTATGCCATTATCTCAGATTTAGTAGTTTTGTTAGATACCAGCCTGTTATCTTTAACATACTGTCAATTAATATTATAATGTTTGGGAGGCAGATAATCATAAAAGCAGTATCAAGCCTTCCCTTAGAACACTGACAATCAGTATACTTTATTATACACCATGACTTTAAAAAAGGTGGGAGGCCCTTTCTTATATTACTTCAACATGTTAAATTTTATTAACTCCAGAATTGCCATTCCACAAGTTGGGCCAGAGAAGTCTGTTGTTAATGTTCATCTTTTCCTAAGCCATGACTTTGTCTTCCTACAAGTTTTTCTATGAACTATAATGTCTGCTATAGTTACATTATGCTAAAATCTAGGTGTAAAACAATAGCATCTGATGTTACACTCCAAATAATAGATTCTACTATTTTAAACTTAACACATTGGTATTTCATGGGAACTTCTTAAGGATACTATCACTTCAAGACATTTTTTTCATTTTTGCCATTCTTGGGCATGGGCTCTGTC